TGTGTGTATATATATATATATATACATTATATACTGTATATGCATATATATTTATATATATATATATATATATATATGCATATATTCTCAACTCTTTCTGTTGCTGATCTTGCAGTGAACCACATGCGTGTGACGGCGATGGATCTGGCGACCACGTCTCTGCTGAATGTGTTCAAAGGGAGCGGCTGCGGTGTTCAGGGTTCGTGGCAGGTGGGCGTGGAGCAGGACGTCACTCCGACCAATGGCTGCGCGGCGCTGGGGCTCCGCCTCCCGCACACAGAGTATGAGCTCTTCCGATTGGAGCGTGACGCCGGCGGACAATTCCTGCTGTTTAACGGCCAGCGGCCCAGCGACGGCTCCAGCCCCGACCGACCCGACAGACGGCCCACGTCCTACCAGACACCGCTGGTGCAGTGCTCCGCCGCTGGAGGTCAGAGGTCAGAGGTCAGCGCCGCGCAGAGCCTCGACAACCTGGCAACCACAGCGGCAGCGGCGGCGGTTTGGAGTTTGTGGGTTTCTGAGAGACGTTAAAGGGCTTGTGAAACCCCTGTTTCAGCACTGGTTAGTTCTCACCACAGTTTTGAAATATGTGTCCCTGCAGCACAAAAGCAGTGTTAAGTCGCTGGGGTATATTTGTAGCAATAGCCAACAATACATTGTATCACTCAAAATTATCCATTTTTCTTTTATACCAAAAATCATTAGGATATTAAGTAAAGATCATGTTCCATGAAGATATTTTGTAAATGTCCTACCGTAAATATATCAAAACTTAATTTTTGATTAGTAATATGCATTGCTAAGAACTTCATTTGAACAACTTTAAAGATGATTTTCTCAATATTTAGATTTTTTTGCACCCTCAGATTCCAGATTTTCAAATAGTTGTATTAAAGTGTTTTTCTTTAATTGCTAACGTGATCTTTTTACACCACAGACAGCAACGCCAGCTCGACCGGTCACCACAGCCACAGCGACGGCGGTCTGGAGTTTGTGGGTTTCTGAGACGTAAAAGCGATCAGATGTTTCTGACCCAGAATGCACTTGAGTTGTCCGTCAGACGGATGAATGCACAACAGGAACTGCACTTTACGAGAACGAAGCCCGACGCTTTCGCGCCTGATGGGACTTTACATCCTAAAACATGCCTGTAAATCAGATTCGAAGGAAAAATCACCCAGAAATAAAGATTCTGTCATTATTTAGTCACTTTCTGTACAATAACAGAAACAACAGTTCATACAGCCCAGGGCCTTCATCTATAAAGATGTCCATTTTGATATATATATACAGTGGTGTGAAAAAGTATTGGCCCCCTTCCTGATTTGAAACCATGAGAGAACTTTAATTTCTGGGTGTTTTTTCCTCGTCTGAGTGAGATGTGGACGTTTATATGAGTATTTTTATACGTGAGTGTGTTTGAGATGAAGATATGAACATTTTAAGGGCTACATGGAAGGAAAGGGAAATATTCAAACTGTAGATAATCACTGCTGACTTTTATAACTTTTAGCACTTAAACTACATTACTGCAGCGAGTCAAGCTGGAATAAAATAGTGCCTTAGATTCATCCTGAGCCCAAGCCCAAAGATTTTGTTTCTCTCATCTAAAAACAGTTTTTCCTCTCAAAAAACTTTTTTCTCGTCCAAAAACATTGTTTCTCTCATTAAAAAACGTTTTCTCTCAATAAAAACATTTTGCTTTCATCATAAAAGCTGTTCTTTCCTTATCAAAACATTTTTTCTCTCTTTGAAAAACACTTTTTCGCTCATCAAAATTTTTTACCGTTTTAATTTTTACGTTTTTTTTTTCATCTGAATTTTTTTTTACTCTCATCAAAAAACATTTCTCATAAAAAAGTTTTTGTCATCAATAAATAAATAAATCTCTCATCGAAAACAAATTTTCTTCTCATAAAAGCTTTTCTCATCCAAAAAAATTTTTTCTCTCATTAAAAAACTTTTTCTCTCATTAAAAACATTTTGTTCTCATCATAAAAGCTGTTTTTTTCTAATCAAAAAACGCAATTTGTTTTCTTATTTTTTACCCTCATCAAAAAATTTTTTTTTAAGTTTTTATCAAAAAATCAAAAAATAAATAAATCTCTCATCGAAAAAATTTTTCTTCTCATAAAAGCTTTTCTCATCCAAAAAAATTTTTTCTCTCATTAAAAAACTTTTTCTCTCATTAAAAACATTTTGTTCTCATCATAAAAGCTGTTTTTTTCTAATCAAAAAACGCAATTTGTTTTCTTATTTTTTACCCTCATCAAAAAATTTTTTTTTAAGTTTTTATCAAAAAATCAAAAAATAAATAAATCTCTCATCGAAAAAATTTTACACACACACACATATAACACACAGTTCATATATAACATCATCAAACATTGATCACATTAAAAAAAAAAAGTATAAAAAAATCTCTCGTCAAAAACACTTATTTCATCAAAAAATGACTAGACAAATGAAAGACACAAACATCAGGTTAATTTTTTTTCTTTTATTTCTTCAGTGTCGTCTAGTATGAGACAGTAAAGTGAAGACATCAGTGAACGTCTTGTGTGGATAAATGCTGCTTTGACAGAAAGTACATTAATAATATAATTAATAAATGATAATTACAGTAATAAAACAGTCTGCGTTGGTGTTGTTAGGAACAGAAACAGAACGAATGCACAGAAGGAGACACCTGTGTCTCTGGTGAAGGTCCGAAGCTCTTCCTTCGTCTGGATGAACCATTAAAACCACATTTACACTTTCCATCGAGTTTGAGTGAAACGAATCGCGTTTGAGGGGAAGCAGTTCATGGCTCGAACATCCGTCAACAGAAAACAGCAAATGAACCCAGACAAAGAGAGACGGGAGTCTCCGATTCTACAGGATGAACTTGCCGAGGAAGAACCCGATGAAGATGGCTGCGATGACGACGAGCAGCGAGGGAAGAGATCCGGCCTTCGACTCGTGACCCAGCGCAGAGCTGGAGTTAATCGTGAGGTATTCACTGCGCTCGAACCTCCTCAGTCTCAAACCCTCGTCCTGATACACACAAAACCCCGTTAGTGCACTTAGGGACTTTTTCTGTTCCTGAGAATGTTTTTTTTTTCATATTATGATCACTGAATTGAAATAAAGCTTAAATAATATATGAAAAACTTTTTACAGTTAGTTGCCAAGCCAACATTTTCATTTAGTTAAAGCATAAAATTACTAACTGGACGTAACAAAAACTAAAACAGAAATAAAAATAAATTAAACCTAAATAATAATATAAAAAAACTAATAAATATTACAAAAGCACATTATAAAATCACTAAAATTACTAACTTTGCATAAAAACTAAAAAAAAAAAAAAAAGGAATACTACTACTAATAATAATAACTAGATAAAAAAAGTTTGTCAAGACAAACTTTAAGTTGGCTTGAGAAAGCCGGACCAGAAAATTTGAAAAGTTTAAAAAAGTTTTAATTTCATTTAATAACTATAAGTTTAAGTCGGATTTCAGTAAGTTGGCTTTGTCAAGCCAACTTAATAAAACTAAAATAAATAAATAAATAAAAAATAAAGTTAAAACAAAAAACTAAACTGAAGCTAATAAAAATGACTAAACAAATAACAAAATGACTAAATATGGAAATAAAATTAAAATGAAAACTGGAAGCACTAAAATTACTAAGTGGACATAAATAAATAAATAGAACTAAACTATAAATAAATTAAATAATAATTAAAAAAATTTATAATTGAAGAAGAAATTGAAATGGTTAAAAATTAAAATGAGTAATTATTGCACTAAAGCACTAAAATTACTAAGTAGACAAATAAAAACTAAAACCTAAAAACACTAAAAAATTTAAATTAATTAATCCTAAAAAAAAATTCAAACAAAAACTAGTAAGAATGACACATAACTAAATTACAAAAAATTTAAAAGAAAACAAAAAGCACTAAAATTACAAACTGGACCTTAATAAAAACAAAAACCGAACTAAAAATCTAAATAATTAAACCTAAATAATAATGTAAAAAAAAAAGAAAAACTAACTAATAAATGAGAAAACAAATAAAATGATTAAAAAGTATGCAAAATTTAAATGAAAATAAAGTACAAATAAATTATATATATATATATATATAATTTTTTTTTTTTTCAAAATATCAGTAAAACCATAATAGTACATAAATGATACTAAAATAACAATGGCACTGGTGAATCAGTCAAAATTAAGAAGTAGTAGAAAAGAATTAGTACATTTATATTAGGGATGCTCCGATAGGATTTTTGTTTTGGCCGATACCGATTTTAACAAACAACTATTGACCGATACTGATACCGATATTGGTCAATTGCATAAAGCAGGGCTTAAAAATGAAAGAATTTTGATCGGTTCACTCCGAGCAGAATCGGTATTTGAACGTTTCTGTTCCTCTGTATTATTACCGTTCAGAAACCGGTTTGAGTAGAAAAAATACCAAGTAATAAAGTTTATTTTCTTTGCCTATAATAGTAATAATAATAATAATAAAGCAGTGTTTTTTTTACTCAAAAAGAAAAAAAAAAACGGAGAGAGTCTTGATCTGGTACTTGCGCTTAGTCATAGCCAATACAGCATCATCTTTTCTAGAGTTTGGCCAAATGTATTAAACAAAAGAAAAAACTGTTAACACTTTAAAGACATTATAGTATTTTTTTCAAGATATTTAAAAATGTTTGCAGCATGGATAAAAAAAAAAAGTATTAAATTAAACTAAATTATTAGGCTGTACGTCACATTTTATTATTACATTCAGAAATAATGTAGGTTAAAATACCGGTAAATAAGGCAAAATGTTTAAAAACATTACAAACACAATTAGGCTATTTTAGTTCCCATCTCTCCACAACAAATCCTCTAAAGTTGTATTTAGCCTAAATATAAGCGTCAAGCCAAAACGAATTAATTTAAAAGCGAAACGGAAGCCTAACTCTCTCATTCTGCACGAATCCAAATGTTTTCATATTCGCGACGTATCTGGATGCTAAAATATTATTTATTATGTAAACTATAGGCTTTGTTCTTCACTCGCATTATGGACGTAAAACATCATCCTTCACCTATAGGCTATATCAGCAGACTATTTAAATTGAGCAGTGTAACTTTTTATGTTTCTTTAACTGTATTTTATTTTGATAATGAACAGGCTGCGATGTAAAGTTAATATGTTGTGTGTGCGTGTGAGGCACCGAGGCGATCACTGCATTGTTTTCCCAACTGTTACTCTGTAATTTATGGTCATACCAACGCTGGTTTGTCATACAGATAGAAGCAAAACATCATTCAAAACTGTAAAGCTTTTGTAAAATAAAGAAAACAGCTTTCGTGAATCAGTGTTCTACACTATGCTGGCTTCAGACACACAAAAAGCTGCATATTACCTGCTATTCATTTTCACTTAAATGTAGGCCTAATGCTTGGCGGTTCGTGACATATCCTCGGATAAACTCTAACACCGGTGCATTGCCATTGTGACTTACCTGTGATGAGTTCACAGCATTTCATTCGTTAGATGCGTCAGCGTCACGTTTGCATAGGCCGTACTATGCCGTCTGACAAACTATATTTTGTACAGATTTTATTTAGTTTAGGCAAATATTTAATTATTTTGCCCAGAGAGGAAATCAAAGATAAAACGTTGGATTATCCAGCTGAAAAGGTGGTCTCGGTCCGCTTCCAAACGAACTCTGGTACGGTTCGTTTAAGGTGTGAACATGACCCGACCTCGATCCGACCCAATTGCGGAAATCACGCTCAGAAACAGACAGCTCGTGCATATAGATATAAATCACTTGTTTTTAAAACACAATGCTTAAAAACACATGCAAATGATGAGTTTTCGTTACCATGGCGCACAGCAATGTGACGCGAGCGCGCTAAATAGGCTAAAGCTTGCCGCAAGAATTACCATGACTATGTTAGGGGAAAATAGTAAGGAGATATTTGAATTATTTATTAATAAACTAGTGTTTTATGAGTCAGTGTCGCAAAGATGAAGTTGATGATCCTGACTCGCCATTTCATCATTGGACGCGCCTTTAGAAAGAAATGCATCTTTAGAAAGAAATGCATCTTTACGGATTACATCATAATAAGCATTTTTATTTTGGATTTGAATTATTTCGTTTTGTAGTCATTTAAAGCTTTCTATAGATATATTCATCATGTCTGTAAGGAAAATATTCACTGAGTTTCGGTGCATTTTTGTGAAGCGCTCTCGTTCAAGACCGAGACGGCAGAATGTGTATCCTATTTGTTGTCTTTATTTTACAAAAGCACAACGTTTTCTTGATATTGTGAGTGCACACAAATAAAAAGACCCTTTATAGTTCCGAACGATGTATTATTCTTACTTTTATGAGCAAAGAATGACGGCGTATTTAATTTGTTTCCACTGCGCTCCAGCTTCCACTCTCCACACAAACGACTGGATATGCGCCTAATAGCTCACATTTATATAGGTTAAATGTTTAAACAAACATTGTGATATGCTTTAAGTATTTTATATCTATAGATTTTATTTTCGGCAAGTCGTAATTACAACATCATATGACATTGTCTCATATGATGCTCATAAGTTTCTTCATATTGCATTAGTATCTGTTAACACCAAATCAGTAAAAGAATAAAAATTGATTTAAATTGAGTAAAAATACGAAAGATCTCCATGATTAGCCTGTTTTTGCACTTCCCGTTTTTCCCTGCTTGAGAATTTCTGTCCAATGAATGGATGACCTTAGCACACGTGTGGTTTTGTTTACAATTTCTGGTTCACTTGCAAAAAAGGGCAGTGTGAAAGCGAACCGCACCAAACAAAAACAATCAACATTGTATTTGGTCCGGACCAAAGCAAGTGAGCTAGCGGACTTTCCTGGTGTGAATCAAGGTTATTATAATTTTGAATTTTTTAATTTGTTTTATTTTAATATCGTTTTTAAATTTGCTATAAAATCCAGTTTAGTTTCATTAATATTTTTGTTAGGTTGTAGTTTAATTTTTATTGTGTGAACACATTTTTATTTAGTTTTTATATAGATTAGTTTCAGTTTTAATTAAAGTTTAGCAGAATTAGCAGATCACTTCCAGAGCGAAGGCCACAGAAAGACGTAGGCATAATTTAACCTTAATGAGGCAAACGTTTAGAGACACAAAATTAACGCATGCTGAGATTGATAGTTTAGTTTCATTAATATTTTTGTTAGGTTGTAGTTTAATTTTTATTTTGTGAACACATTTTTATTTAGTTTTTATATAGATTAGTTTCAGTTTTAATTAAAGTTGAGCAGAATTAGCAGATCACTTCCAGAGCGAAGGCCACAGAAAGACGTAGGCATAATTTAACCTTAGTGAGGCAAACGTTTAGAGACACAAAATTAACGCATGCTGAGATTGATTAGATGGTAAAAGTACACAAATATACACCAAAGGAAGCAGTCAAGCCTTTTTACTATATAAATCTACGCAAGTTGCGCTTAATGTCATATCTAATGGTGTGTTGAGATATTTAATATGAAAATAATTGTAGCCTAATTTGGTTATGTCTTTTATCTTATTTAATCATAATCATGATATTGTAACTGTCGTGTCTTGCTCACTTTTCCGTGAACAGCCGCGCATAAATCATAACTGGAACTAATGAAATTCAATAATAACGGCAAAATATGTTGTAGATTAATGCGGGTTCGGTTCGGGTCGCGACTCGCAGTCTTTATGTCAAACGGTTCTGGTCTGGTACAGAATTAAATTAGTGCTGCTGTCAGATAATGGGTCGGGTGTTCCGTTAAGTACTGCTTGGTGCACGTTTACCAAACAGGACCCGTGCAGGACATTGCTTTAAACTGCTTTGCGTCTCTCCGAGGGATAACCCCATGTGCATGATACGCCATTTACAGGTATTTCCCTAAACTGTCACACAGCTCATATATTTTTACGCCAAGGAGTGAGAACATAATGATTACGAAAACGATTATTTATTTTTGTTAGTTATTATTTTATTTCAGTTTGTTTTTCAATAACTGTTGTTAGTTTCATTTCGTTTTAATTTTTCAAATATTTTGACGTTTTTATTTTATTTCAGTTTACGAAATTGTTTTTTCATCAATCGTTTTCATCTTAGTTTTCGTTTACGAAATTAACCTTGGTGTGAATACACCATTAAATAAACCATCGGCATCGGCCCTTTTCATGCCATTTCCGGTATGCCGATGGTTTTAAAATAATCAAAAATCGGCCGATAAATCGGTGCATCCCTAATTTATATGATTTCTAATGATTCATTTAGAAGATGCTTTTAGCCAAACTGACGTACCTTGAGCTGGCGATTCTCATCGTTGAGCTTGCTGACCTCCGTCTGCAAGCGTTTGCACTCCTCCAGGATCTTCTTCATCTCCGAGTCGTTCGCTGCCAGCGGCCCGTCTGCTTTAGAGGAGTTCAGAACCGGCGCCGATTTAGAGTCAACGTCGTTCTGGAGGAGGAGGACGGCAAAATTAGAGACAGAAGACAAAACAACTCAAAATCAACTCACCCTTCACCCCTTCAGTATGTTTTCGTCTTCAAAGAACCAACATTTAAACTCCTAGAAAATCTGTAAATATCATAAAGCCTCGTTTTAAAAGTGTGATTTTTAATAATTATTAATAAATTATTTAAAAAAACAACTTAAAAACATATTATTACTTATAAGTAAATTAATTAATTTAATTTAATAGTAAAACATTTTTGAAAATGCTTATCCTTCTTTATTATGATCCAGTAAATCATGACTTATTGGTTAAAAAGATAATTGAATATATTGAAGTTTATATTGTTTATATCATTGCAAAATGTAGCTATTATCACACAGCTCTATATGTAAAGTGGGATGTATGTTATTTAGAGTTATTTCAGATATACTATTATGCGTTTTTGTTAATATGGAGCTCATTTCTTTTCTATATTTTCTGTGTGTTTTCATAATTTTATTTTAGTTTTTTTTTCTCCTTTAAATTAAACTAAACAAAAATTAAAAATGTTGTCTTGAAACCAGCTGAAATTAAATAAAATATAAAGGAACTTCAACTTATTTTATTTCGACCCCCTTTTTATTTTCTATTTTTATTTAGTTGCTTATTGGTTATTATTAATATTATTTATCCATAGGCATGTGTAGACATTTAATTTCACTGTTTTAATTTATGTAATTCGTTGAAAGCTTGCTTGTAAGGGCATTAACATCAGACATTATTAGGGGTCTGTTATATGTAGTTGCTTAAGGGATTGTTTATTAGAATAATAATGCTGTGGAATGCTAATTTATGATAATAAGAGTTTGTTTCTGTGTATTTGTTATTCCATGCTAAAAAAAACAATATAAATAAATCACTCAATCATCTTTGTGAGTTAATATTTCTGGTAGATTTGTTCGATGATTATAGTAGCAATATTAATTGCCATGTCACATTTGTCGAATCTGATGAGCTTCTGCCTTATTAAAATGTGTTTGATTGGATGCACGACCTTTGACATCGACAACACGATGTGTGACATGTTCTCTCCTGCTGACCCCGCTGACCTTTGACCTACCCTACTGATGTCTCTATCCTGCTCTCTGCTCTGACCCTCACTGACCACCGCAGGCCTGCAGGCCTTGACCTCTGACCCTGTCGTTCTAAAGCCGCCCGGAGCGGCACGGAACCAGTGGAGCAGGTTTCTCTTCTGAGGACTCTGGGACGCCACAGCAGAGCATGAACAGTGTGTGTGTGTGTGTGTGGTTTGCTGTGCTTGTTTGCCAGGTTATTACAATAAACTAAAACTAAAACCATATAAAATTGTTACTTGACAAACGTTAACGGAAACAAAAATAAAACGTATATACTAAAATAACTAAAACTAAAATAAATGTAGACTTTAAAAACAACTAATAAAAATGACAAAAACACAATACAATTACTAAGACTTTAAAAGTGGACAGTGCAACTCTGTTGTCATTGGTGTTCATACTTCTCTTTGTGAGGAGTGGAGTAATTTATTTTTGCAAATTTTATTGTTCACATTAGAGTGCGCATACTATCAACAAACTCCATCTGTACACTGCAGAGGAAACAGAAGCTGCATCTGAAGTGGCATTAGATGTATTTACACAGACTGCTTAATGAAGCTGAGGTGCCATAAATGCATTTAAACCACAAAATTTCAAATGCATAAATAATTTATAAGATTCATGTTTTAAATATTTTTGAACATACAAGTTAAAAATGTTGGGAAAAATGCAATACTTTTAAACATGAAACCACATCCTCCTCGTGAAGCTCTCCCAAGTGTTTGAATCGGCTTTGCCTGACAGTATTCCCACGCTTGTGGTCATCCCTGTTGCTTTGCACCTTTTCCCACCCATTTTCTTCCTTTCAGTCAACTTTGCATTTAATATGCTTTGATACAGCACTCTGTGAACAGCTGCTCTTTCAGTAATGAGCTTCTGTGACTTACCCTCTTTTTGTAGGGTGTCAATGATCTAGTGCTGGGCGGTATGACCAAAAATTTATATCACGGTATTTTTCAAAATTATACTGGTTTTATTGACGGTTTTGCTACTCATGCAGCGCACAGCCTGCGTCTGAGTAACAAACTAAAAAAAACAACAAACAGAGGTGACAGTTCTCCGGGAAAGTCAGACCTCGCGTTCGCGGGACAGCACTGGCGAAACCTTCCAACTGAACCATAGCTAAGGTTTATCCAAAAAAGTCGCTAGGTTTGTCCGCGTGACGTGCGGATGTCAATGCGGTTGAGGTGCGTCTGACTCCGGGCTAATTTTACACTGCTGCCGCGGGTTATTATTCAAGTTAGCGGTTCTAAATACAAATAAATAACCACAGGGGGACTTTAATGAAACTCAAATGTAAATATTCTAATATTTTGAGATACTGGATTTTTGACTTATCAAAATTAAAACAAAAAACTTTTTTAAATGTTTTACTTTACATGCAATGGATCTAGAATATTTGAAAGTTTAACTTTTTGAAATAAGTTACAAAAAAAATAACTTTTTCACAATATTCAAATTTTTGAGATTCACCTGTATATATATATATATATGTACATGCATCAAACTATTATAGTATGTTAATGATACTAAATAACATTGCTTGTTTGTACAGCTTCATAATTTGGCCAAATATTTTGTGTTTACATATCAATATAACTATAAGCGAATAATAATAATAATTATTTTTATTATTATTGTTGTTGTTACTATTATTATCATTATTACAAAATACTACTTAGAAAAAATAAATAATATAATTTCACTGTAAAATAAAACAACACTAGTCTTTAAGGAAAATATTAATACATATATTTTTTTATATTAATTATGTTATTATTTATTTATATTTATGGCTTAATTTCCTCATTTATAAATGTTTAAACCATCCAGCTTTTATTTTGGCAGAAAACCACAAGAAGACCTTAAAGCTTCTCTGTTGTTGGAAAATGGTGCATGTTGCATTTTCAAATGCACGCTCAAAGCCACATCGTGGTTTTATTTGCATTAATCGTGCAGCCCTTATGTGCATCAGTGATGGTGAAAAGCAGCTACATACAAGCTAATTAAAGGAGGAACAACGACATTATTACTGAAAACAAAACTGCTTAAGCTTCAAAACTTAACTTCAAACTCTAAACAGCTGGAATAAAAAAGGTGCTGTAAGTGGTTTCAGATGTTTTGCCAACTTTAGCCAGTACTGAGTCAAACTCTCTAAAACCCCGCCCTCCAAACACAACAGCCAATCAGAATGAGATAAAGTGATTGACAGGCAGTGAGTGTTTGTGATTGGCTGGCTCTCACACCTGTTTCACTGATAGCTGTCAAAAACAATCACTTACAGCACCTTACCATAAGAGCAAAGCACGTTCTGCTGTTAAAACAGAATTATAATTCAATTTACAGCAGCGTATAACAGGGTGGAGTGAACGCCTTTCCTCCTATTCGTCTCTCTGTACTCACCACTTTATCGTTTTCAGACGGCAGCTCAAAGACGCATCTGAGTTTGGAATCCATGAGCTCATCGGGTTTCACGTCTTTCCACTGAAACACATGAAAAATCGGCAATTCATCAGCCACAACCACTACCAGCTGCCCTTACACACACACACACACTTTACACTGGAATTCAAGCATTAACCCTATAAAGATTGCTGTAGCGTATATGACACATGGATTTCCAAGGCCTCTAAATGATTGATAGTTCAGAGTGTTTTATCCAGTCAAAGCTCTTTTAGTGTAATTGTACAAGCATCCAGCTTCAGCTGCTGCTTCTCGTGTCAAATCTTGACTGATTTTAATCAAGTAAAGGTCAGAATAACTGCAGTAATATCTCCAGATGAACACTTACTGGACTGAAGCAGCTCAGCTTTACTTGATTCTCCATCAATCATGTTTTAGAGTCTCAAATCTGATCCTCAGGATCTTTTGAGGAGCGTTTGTTTCCAGAAGCTTTACTTTCACTGTTCCTCAGCGGAGGAATGATCTTCACAAGCCTCCAGAACATCTCACATCTTCTGAGGAGCCTTTATTTCTTCAGCTCTCAATCACTGCATTATATGTTTGGAGCATTTCAATCTCATCTCACTGAGACAGATTACTGGAGATATAGAGACGACTGATATTTAGATCGCTTTATGTCAGTCTCTGCTGTACTGTTATAAAGATCTCACTGATTTACAGTACCAGCAGCAGAATTTCATCTTAATCTTTGTCTA